AACTCATGGCGGTAGATTCTATGCTGCGTTATCTATATCAGGTGTGTATTCGGCAAGCCATTTTTTTACATCAAAGGATGGGCAGGCTTTTTTTACGCCATCAAAGTCACGGTGACCTTTTACTTCAGCTCCTTTGTATTTTTCTGTCAGCTCGACAATCTTATCGAACATGGCGTGTTTTTGTGCAGGAGTTCTGTTATCAATTGGTTTACCGTCTTTGTCGATTCCTCCGATGTAAGCAACACTGATACACACCGAATTATGAGCGTACACACCATAGCTGTTTTTATTTTCATCCAGCAACTGAACAATTGTTCCGTCTCTTAAAATGATGTAGTGGTATCCCGGTGTATCTCCCCATTTGCGTACTTCCTTCCAATAGCGTTTTATTGACTCAACGGTTGTCGTTGGAGGAGTTGCTGTGCAATGCACCACGATGTATCTGATTATTCTTTTTACTTTTTGCATGATCAATTATTTTTTATTTTTAGAAACCGCTTAGTGTCCATTTGTCACTCGCTGCATTATATTTTAGTCCCATTTTTTGAAATACCTTCTTTGTATTTTCTTTCTGAGATTTTTCGGCAAAAGAATTTAGCATTGCTGTGACAAGGGTTTGACGAACACCACCATTCAACCTGTACATTTTAAATTTATCTGACACAAGTGAGTAGTTAGTTGGAGTCGTGATGGCTTTTAATAGTGTAACCGCAGCGTTGTAGTCTTTTGCAAGTATTGAATTGTAAACCCCTTTAGCTATTGCTGCCGGATCGAATATTAAAAGCGCAGGTGCTTGCGGTTTTTGGATTTGCGTGATTTTTTTGAAATCGGCTTCTTGTAATGGTATTCCATATCCCTTGGCTCGTAAGAAGGTCGATAGCTCGCTTCCGAATTGTCCGTCTGCGCCGAACTTTGGAAAAATGCCGGAGCCAAAAGTTCGCATAAGAGACTGCTGAAGCTCAACGACCTTAGCTCCTTTAGACCCGAGTTTAAGAGGAAAGGAAGAATTAGCATTACCAGTATATACGCTGGTACGAGGCTTAGAATTAGAATTAGTTTGAACAGGAATTTTAGTATCCAGATCACTAGTTGTTTGATCAATGTCATCATTGCTTTCGTTTTTATGTTTTTTAAATTGTTTAATTCCAAAGAATGCCAAAGTTCCCAGCGCCAATGTTCCGAGGCTTATTAGCACCGCTTTTTTGGCTTTTCCTTTATTGGTCACCTGATTGTTTTGTGTTACTTCTGCTGTATTCATGGTTCTGTTCACTTTAGCTTTTTCTTTTCTTTACAATGATTTGTAGCCATTCATTGTATTGGCCGAATTCTGCTTCTCCTTTTAGATCATCAAGAATGTTTGTTCCGTAGAGCGTTTTGTATTCTACTCCGACTTTGATAAAGGCACTTTGCGTAGGGATTTCTTGAAGCGTTACTTTTACAGCCACGCTGTCTGTTCCCGGTAAAAAGCCATAGTCTTTGTCGAAGGAGCTTTTAAACGTTTCGCCCATGCACGGAACTGGTTCACTGTGGAGCTTGTCCTTTCTTCAGAGGCTTTGAATTAATGATTTGCATCATTTCATTCAGCTCTGTGGATTGGAGTTCGTCAG